CATGTGCGAGAAGCACTGCGCTTTGTGAATGGTCCGGCGACTTCTGGGACACGACAGGTCTCAGAAGGCGCCGGGCCATTCACAAAGCGCAGCGCTTCTCGCGCATGCGCAGTGGGCACCCGGCTGTCACAGAAGCCGGCGCGGGAAGAGCCAGCGTGCCCACACTAAAGAAAGGACAACTTCAGGTACCCGTTCCCCCTCCCCAAAGGTCCGCAGTCTCTTGGTTATCCCCTGTACTCTCTGCAGTCTCTGGCCATCTGTACTATGTCCGCAGTCCCTGGCATTTTCCCTGTACTATGTCCAGTCTCTGGTCATTCCCTGTACTGTGTCTGCAGTCTCTGGTCATTCCCTGTACTGTGTCTGCAGTCTCTGGTCATCCCCTGTACTGTGTCCGCAGTCTCTGGTCATTCCCTGTACTATACCGTGTTCCAAATTATTATGCAAATTCTATTTAAGTGTCACAGATTAAATATTTTGTTTTTCAGTTTAACTCATGGATGGCATTGTGTGTCAGGGCTCTTTTGATCACTGAAAACAATCTCGGACACCTGTGATAATTAGATTGGCCGATGAGCCCAATTTAAGGAAAAACTACTAAAGGAGGGTGTTCCACATTATTAAGCAAAGCACCATTTTCAAGCAATATGGGGGAAAAAAAGGATCTCTCTGCTGCCGAAAAGAGTGAAATAGTTCAATGCCTTGGACGAGGTATGAGAACATTAGATATTTCACGAAAATTTAAGCGTGATCATCGCACTATTAAGAGATTTGTGGCTGATTCAGAGCACAGACGGGTTCGTGCAGATAAAGGCACATTGAGGAAGATTTCTGCCAGATCCATGCATCGGATCAAGAGAGCAGCTGCTAAAATACCATTACATAGCAGCAAACAGATATTTGAAGCTGCTGGTGCGTCTGAAGTCCCACGGACATCAAGGTGTAGAGTCCTCCAGAGTCTTGCAACTGTGCATAAACCTTCTATTCGGCCACCAATAACCAATGCTCACAAGCAGAAACGGCTGCATTAAGCAGAAAAATACATGAAGACTAATTTTCAAACAGTCCTGTTCACTGATGAGTGCCGTGCAACCCTGGATGGTCCAGATGGATAGAGTAGTGGATGGTTGGTGGACGGCCACCCTGTTCCAACAAGGCTGCGATGTCAGCAAGGCGGTGGTGGAGTCATGTTTTGGGCCGGAATCATGGGAATAGTGCTGGTCGGCCCCCTTTTAGGGTCCCCGAAGGTGTAAAGATGACCTCTGCAAAGAATGTGGAGTTTATGACTGACCACTTTCTTCCCTGGTACAGAAGGAAGAACTATGCTTTCCGTAATAAAATCATCTTAATGCATGACAATGCACCATCTCATGCTGCAAAGAATACCTCTGCATAAATGGCTGTTATGGGGATAAAAGGAGAGAAAGTCATGGTGTGGCCTCCATCCTCCCCTGACCTCAATCCTATTGAGAACCTTTGGCGCATCCTCAAGCAAAAGATTTATGAGGGTGAGAGGCAGTTTACATCCAAACAGCAGCTCTGGGAGGCTATTCTGACATCTTGCAAACTAATTCAAGCAGAAACTGTCCAAAAAACTCACAAGTTCAATGGATGCAAGACTTGTGAAGCTGCTATTAAATAAGGGGTCCTATGTTACAATGTAACATGACCTGTTAAAATGTTTAAAAAGTTAAAATGTTAAAAGTTTGATTGAAATAGCTTTTGATTTCAGTAAATATGCTGCAAACACAACAAATGACAATTTTCAGTTCTTTACAACCTATAAAGTATTTTGAAACTTACTATGCGTAATAATTTGGAACAGTGCATTGTAAGTTTTTTATGTTTAACAAAAATACTGTTATCATTAGGAGGTTTGTTCAATAAAATTTGAATTGTACTCTTAATAGTTGATAACATGAGAATTATGCTGACTGTTATTTACATCAATTATTTAGGTAAATGAGAAAAATATAATTTGCATAATAATTTGGAACACGGGGTATGTCCGCAGACTCTGGTCATCTCCTGTACTGTGTCCACAGTCACTGGTCATCTCCTGTACTGTGTCCGCAGACTCTGGTCATCTCCTGTACTGTGTCTGCAGTCCATTGGTTCAGAATATTTTTTTTCTTATTTTTCACCTCTAAAACCTAGGTGCGTCTTATGGAGTGAGAAATACAGTAATTTATTAAAAATGTTGGAAACATAGATATTCGTTGGTCATGTGTGTTGTGCCTCATTTGGAATCCCAGGACAAATAAATTGGTTGTATGTATATATTAAGGGATGGAGGCACATCACTGGGTGCATCAAATCATCATATTCTATTTTTATTTTGGTTATGTATACAGGAAGTGTCCAATATATCTTCAAAACTGTTGCATTGGACTGATCATCAGGTACAGCTTATGTTTTGTTATCAAATAAGGTTCTACACGTTAAATATAAAATAATTTTTTCTTTTTTTTTTTATTAATGATTGTTGAATCCATTGGTTGAATCATGACATGTCAATAGTAAAATGTTGCTTGTAACATATCTTTAATTATAAAATTATGTGAGTATCAAATTATATTGCTGCACTTGTTCAGAGAACCTGAATAATGCTGGGCAAGCACATAGCTTTAGTGGAAGATTTCCATCATGAAATAATGACCATAACAAGTCTCAGTTTGCTTGAAACCAGGAAATGATTAAAGCTGAACTCTGGGGGAAAAGCAAATATTGTCTAGAGGAATACATATTACTTGCAAGTTGGTGTGTTATGTATATTTCCTCCAGATATTTGCAGTAATCCAGTGTGAAATATTGCTCCTGTTGCCTCTGCAGGAGCTTCCTGAAATTAATGTGATTGGTATTTTTAAAAAATAAAATGTAAACCTTTACAAAACATGTCATACTTGCTTTGTCCAAAGGTTTTGCACAGAGCAGCCCCGATCCTCTTTTTCTGGGGTTCCACATCGGCACTCCTCTCTCCCCCCCCCCCCCCCCCAAAACGAGTGCTCATGCAGGCTCGCTTCTGAGTCGGCTGTGTGTGTCCATAAGACACACAAAGGGGGAGGGGGGTTTGGGCTCAACTCCAAATCCCTCCTCACTGGCTCTGATTGACAGCAGCGGGAGCCAATGGCTCTCACTGCTGTGTCTGAGCAAATGAGGAGGCAGGGATCCGAGAGAGCTTCTGCTCTTGTACACATTTATGGAGATTGGGCTCAAGTAAGTATAAGGGGAGGCTGGAGGGAGAAGCTGCATGCAGGGTTTTTTTTTTTTTTTTTTGCCTTAATGCAGAGAATGCATTAAGATAGGAAAAAAACTTTCTGCCTTTCAAACCACTTTAAAGGCCAGTTAAAGGTGCATAGTGATTAGTCTGATATCCACCCTTGCCACCCTCCTGTAGTTATCTGCAGGCAGCCTCTAGTGGGAGAGCTTTTGAGGCTCTGCACAGGCCAACTACAGTACAGTGATCTTGTTACTGCTGTTTTTAATATCTGAGTTTGTATAGGCATTAGCTGCACACAAAGTAGATTTTATATTTAGCTGCTTCAGTACCACTGTACATATATACACAGCCTCATATTGAAGTGGCTATACCGGGATCATGGTTGAGGCTACAAACATAATTTTGGCATAATTTTGTACAGTGACCACTTTCCTGTCAGGTAAAAGTAGTCCAAGTGGCTGTACAGCTGCTGGATTACTTTCACAGGAGACGGAAGGAGGTCACACCCGCCCCCCTCCTACCACCGCCTTAACTGGCTCTCCCATCCGATCAGGAAGCCCAGTAAAGATGTGACCAGTGGCATTAGCTTCGCTGGACACAGTGGGCAGAACTGATGTCGTTACTCCCACCATGTGATGTCAGAAACCGGAAGCGACAAGGATTTAATCACTTCCGTCTTTGGTTTGTTTGTTTACAAGCCTCTGCCGGCTTGTAAAGAAGATCAAACCAATCTTGGTTTGAGCTGATACTTTAGAGGTCAGAGGAAAAATCTGGGGCCTAGCACACCCCAGATCTCTCCATAAAGAGGATTTATCAGGGCCCATGCTATCACAAAGGATGTTGTTCATCCCTTGTGATAGCAATAAAAGTGATTAAAAAAAAAAAAAAAGGACCAGTGTAAAAAAAATAAAATAATTTAAAACACTTTCTTTAAAGCACTCCTTTCCCCCATGCTCAAGTGCGAAGGCACAAGTTAGTCCCGTACGCATATGTAAACAGTGATTGCACTACACATCTGAGGTATTATCATGAACATCACAGTGTGAACATTAACTCTAGGGCCAGACCTCCTGTGTAACTCTAAACTGGTAACCTGTGAAGGCTTTTAAGAGTCACCGAGGGGTAATTTAAAGTACCGTAGTTTTGTTGCCGTCCCATGGGAGCTTGCAATTTTAAAGTGTGACATGTATCTATTTATAATTTACAAAAAATCGCGTATTCGGTTTGTGTTCACTAAAATTCATTAAAGTGTATTTTTTCCCCCAAAAATTTGCATTTAAAAAAAAAAGCTGCATAAATACAGTGTGACATAAAAAATGTACCCACCATTTTTTTCCTCTAGGTTCTCTGCTGCAAATAAAAAAAAAAAAAAGTATATATATATATTTGGGGGTTCTAGTAATATTCTAGGAATAAAATGCAGATTTTTTTCTTCATGTATGACAAAACTGGCTATTGCAGTTAATGGTGTAATAAAAGTTTTTTGTTCCCAATGTTCAGCTTTAAAACCCATTTGTGTAAGATTGATGCAGGTTTTGGTTTTTTTTTTTTTCTTTTTCTTTTTGGAAGAAAGCTACCAAAGTGCTAAGTGTCTTGCCTGATTCAAAAACATTCCTTCAAAACCGTTAATTTGTACGTAATGCCATTATAAAGGATAACCAGTTTCCAACCGAGATAAAGTGTAACACGATGACTTGCATTGTCAACGTCTTCAAAATAAAGCTTTATACAAAATATTGCTTAAGAAGAGCTTTTTGAGATGGCAGCAGTAGGATATTGTGCTTTACATGTCTGGAGGCTCAAGCTGGAACCGTGATTCTGCAGATATTCCATACTGCTCCAATGGGTCCTACAAGGATAAACAAAGCAGAGTAAATCACAAATAACATTTACACTAAACTCTACTGGTTCTTATCACCTCATTTACCTTCCCAGTCATCTTCAGGATTTCATTGCGATAAAAGAGAAGACTTCTTCTCATAAATTCATAGCTGAAATAAAAATGTAGTGTTTATACAAAAAAAAAAAAAAAAAAAAAACAAACACACACTTTCTCCTTCTGTTGATTTATTTTTTGTACAGTTTTCCTAATAGGGTAGTTCATATAACACACACAACAAATCGTTTACTTCATTGAAAAAGAAAATGACACCCAAAACTAATTTTCCAAATGTAGGTGATAAATAAATGCTAGGTATAAATGAAGGACCTGTTCACACCCCCACAGTAGATTTCATAATGAGGGAAATTTACTGAGGCTGGAACAGACAGAATCTGGAGAAACAGTGAATGGCCTTGCTCACACAGGTGCTGAGGCTCGTCTTCCACAAACGGGCCATTTATTCTGCTTCTCCAGCCAGCAGCCCATTCATATCTATTAGAATTCTTGAAACCACCGACAGGTGCTTCTGAACTACATTTGACCTACTTTAAGCTGCTTTTGCATTCCCATAGACTTATACTGGGAGAGAAGCAGTTTTGATGTGAATAAAAGCCTGATGACACTGACCCAATGGCAATACATCTCTTTGCTGTAGAGAGATTTAAGTATATTTTTATATAAATGGCAGAAAATGTATTTAAGGTAGAAGTAATGGATGGACTTATTGCACAGGTGGCAACCTATCACAATACCAAGCACTGAGCTCCTGAGAGTGACCCATTCTTTCACAAATGTTTGCAGAAGCAGTCTGCATGCCTAGGTGCTTGATTTTATACACCTGTGGCCATGGAGGTGATTGGAACACCTGAATCCAATGATTAAGAGGGGTGTCCCAAAACTTGTGGATGGGTGTGTCTGTCTCTCAGCACAGTGGCTAAATGGTTAGCACTTCCGCCTGGCAGTACTAGGGTCCTTGGTTTGAATCCCAACCATGGCATCACCTGCCTGGAGTCTGCATGCTCTCCCTGTGCGGGTTTCCTCTGGGTACTCCTGTTTCCTCCCACGCTCCAAAGACATGCTTGGTAGGTGAAATTGGATCCTGTCTATGGCCCTAGTATGTGTATGTATGAATGTGAGTCAGGGACCTCAGATTGTACGCCCCTTGAGGGTTAGGGACTGATGTGAATGTGTATATATATATATATATATATATATGTAAAGTGCTGCATAAATTGACAACGCTATACAAGTACCTGAAATAAATAAAATAAATATCTGCTTGTGTTTTTTGTTATCCTTTTTTAACCTACAACACTGTGGTATCTTTCCTGCATACACAAGATAAATTTGAGAGTTGAAGATTTTCCAGCTAGCTTAGCAAGCAATAGATATGGCATAATTTTTATTCCAATGTTTACATACAGGGTACTCTAAGTTGTTTTATATCAATCCATATGCCCCATGTCTTGTGAGATGTCTAAGGGAATTTCCTACATTCATATCTTATACAAAGGAATGCACTGATTCATTTGTTGCAGCCAAAGTTTGCCATTAACTAAATACAGCACTTGCTGTAGCCTATTGTGTTTAAGCTCACCTTGCATTTTTTAATGCTTGTACCCATTCATCACATTGTTCTTGGTTATTGCACTCAAACACATATTTCCGGTCTGGCTCATCCATGAAATCTGAGAACAAAAAAATATATATTTATATATACACACTTTTAGGACCAAGCCAAAAAAAAAAGATTTAGTACATCTAGGGCATTTGCTGACCCTGTTCATTCTCTGAATAAAGGCTAAAAGAAATCAGTATCAGAAGCATAGTTTAAAAAATAACCAAAGGTGATATGGACATATTTGAGGGAATATATAATAGTCATTATGTAGCTGGACAATTGATGTACTTCAACAAGTTGTGGACACAAGACTTCATCGAAGTACACAGGACAGGTGCTGTACTGCCTGCTGCTGCCCCTCCCTTGAACTTGCAGACAGTGTCTAGCTGTGTTAATAATCACTGTTCAGATGCAAGAGAGAAACAAAATAACATTGTTATTTTTGTATCTGCTCTGTTTCATTCAACTGCAGATCAAAAGAATGAGCTTCAAGCTGAATATAATATCAGTTAAAGCAACCTGACAAGATTGAAAAAAAAAAAACTCAGGAAAGATTGTTTTCCCCGAAAAAGAAATATAAGTTTTACCTTTTTTTTTATCTTAAAGTAGTACTAAACTGCCAGTGTTTTATATCTTAACACATTCAACTCAACAACAAATACACCCCCCAATAAATTGTTACATTTTTATCCAAACAATTGCCCTTTAGAACTTTCAATGCCACTGGTTTCTATACCCTCAGTGCTTCTTCTCCAAACTGTGCGTCAGGAAGCAAATGCACTGAGTACTTAATAGGAAACAGTTGTCAGTATGTTTTCTTGAAGGAGAAAGGCACAGGGAAGTGACTTGCAATCCTAGTCTATAAGGTTATGTCTTTTTATTGATACACACAGCATAGGGAGACACAACTTTATTTCCAGCTAGGAGTGTGCATGGAAGGGTGGCTCCGAACAAACAGGCCCACATCAGAAATGTAGAAATTGCTCTGGTCCATAGAGGTGTATATAGGTGTGAGAGTTGAACTGGTTAAACATAAGCAAATTATTTTTGCTTTTAATTTACATTATGTAATGCTGAGGTCAGCATAGATACCTCCTGGCAGCAGGTATGCTTAGAAAATTAATCAAATATCAAGTTCCTAACCTTTGTCAGCCTTTTTGCGGTCATTAGGATTGTTCTCTGACTCCCTAATATTTACAGCTTTATAAACTAACCTAACAAAGTTAAGATATTAACTAGTCACTTAGTAAACTACAACACTTACATATTGAGAAACATTTCTCCTCTTCTTTCATCACCCTGCAGTGCTCTAAAAGAAGTGCTCCAATGGGCTAAGAAACATAAAGCATGTACAATATTTCAGAAGTTGCTCATTTTAGCTTTATAACAGTAACAAACACGTGCATTAGTTTATATAGAGATAATAGAAGTCACTTTCCAGCAGTCCACCAGGAACACTATTCAGAGACAATGCATACTTGGTATTGCGCTGGATCCTCCAACTAGAGATCTCTATGGTAAATAAGATCCACATGTCAGAGGATCTTATTGCCTCAAAAAAGTAAAAGAAAGACACATTCCATTCTAAATTGTACTAGTAGCACAACTTCAAATTCATACGAGAATACGGTTTATATATCTCACTTCAAAGGCGTTACCTCTCAGGTTTGACCAGGTATTATTTCCTCCTTTGATATGCCTTCTTATTGGAAGTCAGGGGAAGGACTCACTCTTTGCTTCTTTTTTTCCCCCATCCACTATGTCCTGTTCATGTTTCAGCCCCCTCCCCTCCCCAACACCTGTAATCCTTCACCCCACAACATAATCTATAAAAGTTGTCTATACACTGCCTTCCACTTTTGATCCATTACTTATAGCTTGTTTAGCCAAACACCAAAACATTCAAGGGGCATCTAAGGTACCTAACAACCGCTCAGTATTATCTTATTTTGCAGTGTGAAGGTTGTACTGTTAAAGATGAGTTTATTTTGGCCAACATAAAATAAGTATGCAATGTTTAATTTATAATGGTGTAAATATTCCCGGGAATTAACCAGGCTTACTGCACTATTATAATAGAAAACTGTCAGGAATGGAGTGTGCCACATTAACTACAAAGATAGACCTGTTTCAGGTCCACATGTGCCAGTTTCTATTTAAGAGTGAAATAGAAACTAGTGCAAGTCTGCCCTTAATTAACAGAGGAAATGTAGATGTTTTCCGTCAAAAAAAAACAAAAAAAAACTGATGCAAATTCCTGCCAGATGTGACCTAGCCTTATGGAAAGTGAATAGCTGGGAGACATTTATTGCATTATTATTATTACATTTATTATTTATTTATTTTACACACAGGAGCCTGCAAAGTATTGCACCCACAATAAGCAAATTATGCGTGCAATGTCAGGATCCTGCAGATACAGCCCTTTACTCGCACCTCTGTGCAGGCTTTGTTACTTATGTGCAGGAGGTGTCAAAGGACTAGGAGTGCACACATCAGTAGACTTGTAGTCTGTCTGTCTGCCATGGTGGCAGACAGGACCTGTAGTTTATTCATTCACAGTTGTGGTGAAATTAAAAGTTGCAGGGGAGAGAAACTCCTGCCCACTGTTACACATGGTGGGGCGAGAGATTGCCCTAATCCTCCCCATTGTGTCCATCAAAGGTGGATTTACTAACTAAAGAATTAAAAAAATAAAATAAAATATTCCAAAAAGTCACACTCTAGCATGCATGTGATGTCACCTGCAGATTTGGTGAGGCCTGGACGACAACTGGTTCATGTAGTTACTTACTGGTGCTTCAATTTTCTGTTTTGCAAATTCTTACTGTAACTCTGACTTGTCCCTGGTTACTTATGTTTGTCTTTTTGTTGGTTTACCTAACCTTCTGCCTTAATTTATGTTGGTTTTTCTGGCATTCTGCCTATTTGAATTCTTCCTGTTTACAGACTTCACTTTTGACTGACAATTCAGTATTTCACCGCTTGTCAGCTGTTGCCTATGAGGCAAATCTAAATGCTTTAACCTGGAAATGCCATGCATCAATATCCAAACATTTTAATGGGTGGATCTAGGCTAAGGTACCACTTACATCTCATAAACCCTAGGGGAAACAACACTATCAGTTACAGAAAATGTTGACAGACAACTTTTAACATTACTTACAACTTTATATATTTTAAATTATATACTTTTTTTTTTTTTTTTTAAATAAAAAAAAAGTAAAAATTATACAAAAAAAAAAAAATTTCTGCTGATTTTGACCACTAAAAAAATGAAAAAGATGAGGGATGTTACGGGGAAAATATACAGTATGGTATAGACACAATGGTGTATTTATTACATTGTATTTATGAAGCTTGACAACAAAGGCCCTATGTTTGAAAATATACTGATAGACCCTGACAGGTCCCAGACTACTCCCCCCACTTCCCCCCCCCCCTTCTCTTTACACTATAACCCTTATTATCTCTAGAACTCCGGTTGCCACTATCTTTCCTCTACTCCTTTGCATTCTCACCCTTTCCCTATTTGCTATTTACAAAGTTTTCATGTATCAGTGGAGCTTAACATATACTCTATACTAAGGATAACAATCTCATGAGCACATAGTGTAAGCATATTCTGAGCCTTACATGTACAGTCCACATTATAGCCATCTCCCTCTTACCTTGCCCTATTTTTACCCATCCTTAGTATAACAATACCTTAGATTTCTTCTGCCAGCCACGGCATGCATTACAAAGGATAGGTTCATCTTCTGAATGTGTTATACCCATATCTATGGTGTAAAATGTTCAAGCAGTCACATCTCTGCCCTTAGCCCCCTCTTCCCTGTGACAGCAAGTGGGGATTCTTCCATTGTCACATTTGAAATTGGTGAGGCTGTTCATTCACATGGGCCTCTGCAAGTCTTGTATGCCACCGCAGCAAATTAACTTGTAGTTTTAATGGACTGCGAGCATGCTGATCAGCAATTAATTTGAGATGCATGGGAACACCATGTCCTCGAACTCAATCTTTCTAAAACTGAGCCCCCTCCCCTGACTTCTCCATCAAGATCAATAATATAAATATCAGTCCCTCCTCTCACACTAGGGTACTAGGTGTAATCCTCGACTCTGACCTGTCTTTTCAGCCCCAAATCCAATCACGGTCAAAAGCTTCACCTTCTTACCATCTCCAAAATTCACCCACCTCTTCGCAGGCTATTCCCTCTTCAGTCTATCATGAATACTGCTCATCCACCTTACCAACCGCTCATTGTCCACCACCAGTCTCTGCCAATCCCTCCACTTGCTTCCCATTGCTCAACAAATAAAATTCAAAACATTAACAAACAAGGTCATTTACATCTCTGTCCCGAGCTACATCACCAATCATGTCTCCAAATATCACCCAAACCATTCTCTCTGCTCCTCCCAAGACCTCCTCCACATCAGTTGTCTCCTCCTCCCATGCTCATCTCCAAAATGTCTTCATCCTCTGGAATTCCATACTCCAATCTGTCTAGCTATCTCCTAATCTGTCCACTTTTATGAGCTCCCTGAAGACTCCTCTCTTCAGGGAAGCCTATCCTGCTTTCAGCTAACAACAATCTTTTATTGCTCCCAGCAGTTTATCCCCCCACAGTTATTACCTTTTGATCCGCTAGACCCTCCCTATTATTATTATACAGTGTTTATTGCAAACTCCCCCAGAAGCCCTCCTAACCCTCTTGTATCTAATTGTATTGTTGCTGTATTGTCTCTATATTGTAAAGTGCTGCACAAACTGTTGGTGCTATATAAATCCTGTATAACAATAATAACTAGAAAATCTACAATTTCTGGGAAATTGTGTAAAGTGTTCTTGCCTGCACCAGTAGTGTGGAAATGGAGTGGACGGAGTAGCTTTTGTCACTCTGCTGCCTGCTCACACACCTGGGTTCCTATGGCAACTCACTCTACAGCAAGGGCAGAGGAGAGGTTAAAAACAAACTGCTCCAACTTGCTCACTTCACTGGCAGTTGCCATATTCAAACAGTTGTAGTTTAAAAAATTATACATCCTACACCAAAGAGCTTTATATTGAGAAAATCACAAGACCCAGACCTACATTTTGTTGCATAGTATGTCTCTGAAATATTAAAAATGAAAGCACAGTTGCAGTTTAGAAATTGCCCTTCAAATTTGAGGTGGCTAGAGTAGAGTTTCAATGAATGTCAATGGGCGGCGTGAGTTGCAAATAGTCATATTGTGAAAACTATCAGGACTATGGCTTAGCCGTGGACATTTGTAGTGGCAGCAGGGATAGCTGAACGTTTTGATATAAGATTTGTGTAGGTGGGCTTGAAAATGAGGGAGTGATGGCAGTTTATAAATCATGTCCTGATTTTTCATCTCACACTCTAGCTTTTGTCAGCTCCCACTCTAGTTTTGAACATTGCGCCATTCATTCCTATGGGACAAATTTCACCACAAAAACGCTGATATTTCGTGAACCATTCAGCGAAACGTTCCACAAAGTAATAGCACACCAATCGGGAACAATCCGCACGTTTCGGTATATTACTTGTCTATGTAGTGTAAAAACTGTGGGAGGAGTTAGGGTGGTAAATTTGGCTATAATAAGAATATATATGTGAGATAACAATAAGTGCTCTTGCCATGCAAGAACACTTAACAACACCACAGTGGCCACAGGCGGTGGAAATGCTGAGGTTCTACATATAGTTTTACAAATCCCTCAAACTGCACATTTTGAAACAACATATTGACTTCATCTGCTCTTAGTGAAAATGTCCAAAATGAGAAGAATGGGGAGGAAAAGAAAAAAATATGGAAATAATAAAAAGCCTGCTATTATTATTTATTTATCTTTGTAAATTTTCACTACTAAACATTTCTAGAAAATGTTATGATAAGGCTGAAGTTTCATTTTAAGAGACCAGTTTCTCCTTGGGTGCTTTTAGTAACCAATGCTGCAGTTCTGACTCCTACACATAGGAGCAGTATCTGGAGTCTTAACCCCCCCCCCCCCCAAAAAAAAAAATTAGAATACTAAGAAGGCAGTGAGAAAAACAGAAGACTGCACTATAATTACACGCACCCACCAGCTTGGTCTACCCTTAGAAGGGCTTTCTGGCTCTGAATATTGAATTTAACCCTGCAAAGAAGCCTGTCCTGAGATAAAAAGAAAACTTCTATTACCAACAGGGGCGGACTGACCATTTGGAAACTCGGGCGCTACCCGAGGGCCCAGGGCCAGTAGGGGGCCCCATGAGAAGCCCCTGGTACCTTTTTCATAGGCTTTTTTGAGTTTGGGCAAGGACAGGGGCCCCATGATCCC